AATGAATCGTAACATTTTGGCCAATGCTTACTGGGAAAGAAGCCCAAGCAATCAGACTTACCAATAGTAGCTAGTTTTGCGGATAGACAAGTTTGATCACTGGTGACTAGATAGCTCAGGTGGTAGAGCACTTGACAAATGGTTCATTGGGACCCTGGTTCAAATGCTAGTCCGGCTTGTAGCATTTGTCTCCCTTTCATTTGATTTATAATAGAAGAAAGTTCAATAGTTTGTGAAGCATCTATGTGGGCTCTGTTAAATGCTCCCACCAGCATGTCTTAAAATACCAAAATTAAAATATGAATATCGTTTTCATTAACAAGAGACTTTTTGTATTAACTAGACTTTAAGTTAAATATTGATTCTGTCAACTATGGCGGTTTTGAATAATGAAGGCATAAAAGTGGAAGCATGGGCATAAAAAGCACCAATCTTCTGTCCTCAGAAAAAAATCCACTAATAACATAATGAAGTGGAATACCTGATATAGGTCAATGTAAATCGTGACAGAACTCTCAAAGGCATTTTATAAAGACGTTTCCGTGAAATAGGGGACGTTTTGATCCTCCGTAATTTTTCCATCGTTTATATTTTGGAGCCTTATTTATCAACAAGTGAATAATACCAAAGACAGATAATGGTTGGTGTAATTAAACCTCTGTCTTTTTTAACTCTACAATTTCCAGTCAATTTTGAAGAATGTACGTAAATCGCTCTAAAGAATGTTTTTTGTATGGAACATGCTTCATTTAACTGCATTAAGACTTCAGGATAAAAAGACGTGTTTAGAAGATTCTTTGAACAAGTCCAAGTGCTTTATATCAACAAAGAAAGACGCACCTAGTTTTCATTGGCCAATTGAGACTTTTACCATGTATACCTTAAAATTGCTTTGAATACATCAACATTTTTTTTATCTTTAATATTTTAGTTGTTGAATGCATTTGTTAACAATATTAGATAGTAATTATGAATTTGAAACATTTAAAATTCTGACACAGCCCTTGCTTTTGAATGTATCATGTTCTCAGAATCAACACGTTATGCTAATTTTTATAATTGTACATATTTGTAATCTGGCAATTATAGGTATATAATTATATATTGAATAAGGTAGAAACAGGTTCGACTTAAATTTCTTTAACAGAACTCGATCATGGGAAAATAGATTGCAATTATTATTTTAACAAGATTTAGAATTTGTCTGATGTTTGTTTTTAACATAGATCCAGACACTATTGAATACCATACGGTATCCACCATCATGTCTAATACATGTAAAAATTAGAAGTTCTGAATCTGCTACCGCTTCTCAAACATTAAACTACCGGTACATCCCATTTAGGGTCACGCAAGAGTGACCTTTGTATTAACTAATGAAATCTACGCCTCTGAAATCTTGTCTTATGGTTTGGATGCATTTATTTTTTCAATGCCAAACCTAAATGCCCAAATTAAGGAGTTTTGTAGTAAGCAAAAATATGCATGGCAAAGGCCTTGTTATGTATGAATGTGACATGCCAGATATCTGGTATAGTTTGTGCATTTTCGTTTGAATTATTCAATTAAGAATGCCAGATTGGTGGACTCGATTTGTACCAAAATTACCTTAATTCAATGTAAGACAGCTAGTCACTACTGAGCATAAATAATGTTAAGACGTAACTAATTTTAGAATCGTATACAAAAGCTTGAATCTAATTGGCCAAAATGTTAATGTTTCAAGAGGTTGCTATGATTGTGACCCTGAATGGGAATGTTGTTAGATGTTTGAGAAGAAGCAGCAGATTCAGAACATCTTATTTTAATTAGACTGGTATCCACTTACGGGAATCTACCCTATTTTAACCCTAAGATGTTGGTCTTTGATTTTGACATTCAAATTATTTTCTTTAATATTTATTTTGGGTAAAATGAAAATCCCACAGGTGTAAATTACATATGCTAAAACTTATAAGGACAAATTCATGATGCTAATTTAAAAATATCTTTCTCTGAAATTTTTAAAGTTTATGAGGCAATTTAAAACCTTTCAGAGATGTATGGCAAATATGAAATGGAGCATTTTATGAGTTTTAATAAAACTTTTGTGATAAGATCATTTTTTTAATTATAATTTTTTAGAAAGCTGATTGTTAGAATGAAGATGAAGGGGGGTGACCTAATACTTAGTAACTCGCATGTAAATGACAGATAATGATAAATACGTCACATTTTTGAGTTCCTCCCTCATAAAAACTGTTGATCTATGTCAACACCTTAATCCCACTGCATTATGCTCCAAAATGCAAACCTTTGTCACCAAAGTACATCTGCTTCTAATTTCCCCTACTTAACTTGATCAAATGAATTTCATTAAAATATTAAACGTTTAAAATTGGAAGTAAACCTAATTTTTTTAACAGAAGATTTGCATTAGGTTGAAAAATGAGCTATGCGAGATTAACATATCATTCATAAACTCTGTGCTAAAAAGGCTCACAAAGCTTTCAACAGAATTTTTTCCTTGGTTTATTTAGGATTTTCTTTTTTGGCCCACCTGAGCTGAAAACTCAAGTGAACTTTTTAAATCACATTTTATGTAGCATTTCTCTGTAAACTTGTCATATTTTTTTACTTCTTCTCGAGAACCACTAGGTCATTTTCAACCAGACACCTTTAAATGAAGGGCCATGCATCCTTAGGTATTGTAGATTCAAGTTTGTTCAAACCCTGACCATAAGGGATGGACAATGTAACAAGTGTAGGTGACCAAATTTTACATAGGAATATAGGGGAAACAATTAGTGACTCGGGTGAGATTCATGGCCCATGGGCCTCTTGTTTTAAATGACACTAACAGCTAGAGATAAAATTACCATAAGCTAATTTGAACTTTAAGATATATTTGGATATATTAAAGCAAAAGTTGTTGCAAATTTTTGTTCTTATATGGTACTGATTTTTACTTAAAATTTGACCTGAATATTCTTTGTTTTAGGAGGGAAGAACACCTCTACACTTTGCAGCACAGAACGGCCATCTTGATATTTGTCAGCTCCTGATTCAACATGGCTGCCGACCAGATGCTCAAGACCATGTAAGTCACCTGATTGCATTGATTAATAAATGAAAAAGTGAAGGATTTTGAGGTTTGTAAGTGTGTGTGTGTTTATTGGGGGAGGAGGAAGAGAAGATCAGGGTATGTCCATCTGCTGTCCATGCAGTGTACAAGTCCATGGTTACCCAAAACTGGCTTTTTTATCCTGCAACTACCCCTTCCATTGACCTAATAAAGGTAACCTAATAAAATAAAGCTTCATTCAGTCAATGTCCTAATAAAGCCTCATGCATGTATTCCGACGTTCTAAAGGCATTGTGACGTCATGGATATTGCAATGTTTACACTATGGCGTCTTAGTTTACACTGCAGAGATGTGTCTAAATCGGGTTAGAAATAGTTCATTTTGGAGGTCAGATGTTTTAAATATCAAAATATTTTTGCAGGATATCCAACAAAAATACAGGCTGTATTTAAAAATGGTCATTGTTTAATAAAATATAAAGGGCTGATAGAAAGCTATTTGTAGCATCGTCTTTCGGGTCAAAGAAATATTTTTTTCATGAAAAGTTGGCAAGGGCAAAGTTGAAAAAGCAAGCCCAGCCTGGCATCTATCACATTTTTTTGAGTGTGTGTGTGTGTGGGGGGGGGGGGGTCTCTCTCTCTGATATCGTTTATTTACACACAAATAACTTATAAAAATAAATACATGTACTTATGAAAGGATTAAATAACACTTGAGAAAAGATTGTTTTCAGTTAATTCCATGTATTTTATATGTAATTATGTATATATGTGAAATCACTTGATCAGCAGAAGTTTTCATCAAGACCATATCACAATATCTTAATTTACATGTAACAGTTATGACATACAATCCAGTTTGAGAACTACTGCTGTATATGCAGCAATTTCAGAGGTAAAACCGGTAAATATGATTAAGTAAAAAATCTAAAAATTACATTAAACCTCGAAAAACTTTGTGTGTTTTTTTTTTAATAGGCCTATTGTCAGCATTTTAATACATGTAGTAATTTGGTATCACACACAATATAGTATAGGAAAGTTGGTTCAATATTATGTTAAGATTTCTTTTTATTCACAAACACAATAACATTTTTCCATATGACAGAGGCATACACCATGAACAGTTTTTCCGCGGAAGTGACTTTATTTATAGCGCATGCGTATTTGTTGATCAGTGATAAAGTGTTTTATGTTTCTTGATTAACTCTGCTAATGAGCCATAGCTTTTTTATGTGATTTAGAACCAAATAACGAATGATGCAAAAGTGAGTTTTCAATATCCAGTTAATTATTTTACTCCCTTTGTTATGGAAATGAAGCATCCTGAAATATTGATTTAAAGGTTCCTTACATTACGACCTTTAACAGTTCTTGATTTTCCATAAATCATAAAAATGACACAATATAAATCGGTAGGCTGCATGCCCTCTCGTTTGCTGGATAATTCTTATGATCGTTATTGCGATGAATTAAATGCTTTGCAGTCTCCTTTTGGCAGATGTAGAAATGATTCCAAATTGAGGTGTGATTTACTAGGTTTAGCTCCATAAATCTTCCATTGAATTTAAACTTTCCTTTTTTTTTCTTGGTTGACGCAGTTGCAGATTTTTACAAGTGCATTGTACAAGGCATATTAAAATTTAATACACACAACCCTGTACATTAAAAAAACACTGAATAATTTTTTTTCTCAAGAATTCAAAAAATGACTACCTATGTACATGTATACGTAAACCACAGTATTGGTAATAGGTATAAATTCAGAATTGGGACTGTCATAAAAAAACAACATTATAATAATAAAGATAAATGTCATACTGTCCAAAAGCGTGTACATGTAATTAAGATAGGCAGGTTCTATTCAGGTTAGATTTTTTTTATTGCACTTCGCAAATCTTGAAATTTTAATTATATTTATTAAAATTGCGTAATAGATTATCATACTGTCTGACTGCAAGATAATAAAATTTCTGTCAACAGCAGTTGGTTGAATTCGCTTTATTGTATGCCATAAATTATGCATGCTTTATTATGAAGATTATCATTGTTTATTAAATATGGATATTATTCCAAGCTTTTCAGCATCTTATCTCTACAGCATCACAAAGCTGTAATAAGTTGGTGAGGTATAATTAAACAGGATGTACATGTATTGAGACATTTCACAACCATTCAACTGCATTGGACAGATATGAGTAAAGAGTGTCATTTGTTTAAATTCTAGACAACAACCTTTGGATGGCAAATCCTCTTAAACCACTGAGGTTTAATATTGCCCATCTTTAAGATTGCCATTGTAAAGATCAAAGATTTTAAATATGTCTCCTTGATTGCCCACAGTACCTCTAGTTTGACCAAATCAAATGAATATTTAATTTCAAAGATTCATAAAATACAAAGATTTATATATTTTTTTTTTCAAAAATATGTGTTATTTAAATTTTTATATAATTTTTAATGTAAAATATGTTTTTACACACCATTTTAATATTTATTTGTTAAAACAGACTGAAAAACCCTGCAGGCTGTTAACATTCAATACAAACAATCATATGCTGTAAACAAATTACATTTAGCTCTGCAGCTTTTATTCTATGCGATTTTACCGGAAAACAAAATGTGTTGTTTACCTAGCACATTCAAATACATGTAGCGCTAAATTGAATTTATGCTTTCCTGTTGAAAAATAAATTTATGCCAAATATGAAACATGCCAAATATAATACATTTACAGTAATAATGCCAATTAAGGTTCATTGACTCTCTGATAAGAGAGATAACTCATATCCTTAATAGCAGACATGGATTTTATTTTCTTTAGAGTTGTTAATTTAGTGAAAAATGTAGGCTAGCTGCTTTGACTTGACTACTTGCAAAAGATATTATTTTTGTGAGATTTGGAGGGACAATGAGCCTAAATAAAGCTTAAAACTGGGGGGGGGGGGTCTGATGTGAATGCCTTTGTCAATTTATCCCCCCTTTTTTTATTATCAGAGAATTTATTTATTTTGTGCAGACAATATTTAATATATTTTATGCAAAAAAAAAAACCATGGTTAAAGTGATAATAAATAAAAACAAAAGTTATGTAAATCATTAGGTCAAGACAGATATTTAACAAAAGTAAATCATTACTGGCCTTGCATTTATCATTGAAACCTCATATAAACTCACAATAAACACTCGAGCACCTGAAGTGCTGATGATTCTATGGCGGGATATACTCATTGTAAACATGAGACCTGGAGTGATTAAATATGAGATACACATATTAGTTTACAATGTTAACAGGACTTTGGTAGAGCTCTGCCAACTCACCAGTCTATGTCAATATTTCTCTCACAAACTCCCAACAGCTGCACAATTGACACAGATATAAACTACCTGCAAAACTCCGCATGGGACTTTTTGTGTAATTGATTCAAAACAAAGCAAACAAAGGCATTCCATTGCATAACCTCATATTTTGGTTTCTAATATTTTGATTACCTGTCAAAGTTGTCTCCCTTTAAATGATTTTTATTGCCAGTTTTATCATATTGGTGAAGATGGGTTGTACACATAAGTTAGGGACTATTTGGTGCAAGAGTGATTAGTGCCTATAAGAATTATGTATATGTAATTTGTGTATTTTTTTTTAAATCATATTTGAAGTTTTTTTTTTATAATTTTGCTCACAAATGTAGTTGGATTGTAATGTTATCAAAATCTTGTAAAAATCTGTTAATTAATCTAACGATTTGATTTTTTTTTTTTAAGGTCAAGTACACTGCCCTTCACAGAGCTTCCTCTCAAGGTCACACAGAGGTCATCCAGCTCCTGATTGACCAACACTGCAACATTGACATTCAGGATGAGGTAATACAAATAAGAGGCAAAATCTACAAATGGTAGATTTTTTAAGATAAATTTGCTGAACTTAATATAAACTTGGAGTGAAAGGATTTTGAATGGATGACAATTTTTTTTAGTTCTTAAATTTTTGGGAGGTCATCTATTCTTTGTTTGAAATGATAAAAAAAAAATTGAGGCATGACAGTGAATGACCACTTTTTCAGTATTTTAAGCATTTGTCATTGTTATGTGTGTATATATCTTTTTAAAAAATATATAATTTGAATATTGTTTTGCAGAATGGGAATGCAGCAATCCATGAAGCAGCATGGCATGGCTTCAGTCGAACTCTAGATATCCTCATTAAATACGACTGTAATATTGTTATTACTAACAAGGTAATTAACTCATAGTATTACTGTATTGTGTGACTTCTTCTAATATTGATGTATGACATAAAATAACACCCAGTTACAATCAAATGAGCAAAGGAATATTAATTCCAGTGATGCGGACCGGCCTACACAATGATTGAACAACAGAGAAACACTCATTTTACCATCATATCTGATCAATTTTCCATCAAAATAATTACTTCATCTAAAAGCCAATAAAATTAATCAATGGTGATAGATTGGGAGGGATTGTATAGCCTGTTTTTATTAAGTTGCTGATTGTTGCTATGGTCAGAGTCTGTAATGTATAACATGACACCTCTATTTTAAGCCTTGGACTGTACACTATGGCTCTCTTTCAGGCTGGTTTCACTGCCCTCCATTTGTCAGCTCAGAATGGACACAACCAGAGTACCAGGATACTACTGCTGGCTGGCTGTAACCCTGACATCAAAAACAATGTAAGTGATGTAACCTTGACATTTGTACTAAGTGGGTCAAGGTCACTGTTTCACATTTTGAATGACACTTTCAAGAATGTTTTTTAAAAGGGTAAAGATTAATTGATACATTTAGAAAGGATAAATAATCCTGTAAATACATATTTTGTTTAAATGTTTAATTGAGTATATTGTAAATATTTCAATGATTGATATTTATATTTCAGTATGGAGACACAGCGCTACACACTGCCGCGAGATACGGTCATGCGGGCGTGACCAGAATCCTCATCAGTGCACGCTGCAGTCTTAACGAACAAAACAAGGTATATAGTTATTTCTTTTTCTGTAAAAAATTTATATCCTCATTTTTTAAATAATTATGATTGTTTTTGTAGTAAAATTGTAACTTTTGAGTGGAAGAAGGTCTTTATTAAAATTTGTTTATTTGGATAATGCTTGGCATGTGCAATTTTTCCTTAAATGTGCTTCTTGATATATGTATTACATATAAATTTAGCATTTCTTTGTAAAAGCCCTAATTTAGCATTTCTTTATGACATGAGATAGAGTTGAATCATGCATGCATGGGAAAATAAATAATGTGGTATTGCCATGATTCCTAAAAATATCAATTACATTAATCACCATCATAAGTAAGAACGTTATGGTCTGTTTATACCCCATTATTGTACTCTTACCGGCGGACAATGATATTTTTATTATACATGTATATACATGGCTGATGGTTTATATGTTCATGTGAATGTCAAAAAAACGCATTGAGTATTGGCTTGTTGTAGGCATTCGCCGTCTATAGATTGCATGTAGAGGACTTTTATTTCACACACAATGTAAAGGGATCCTTTCAGTCGATATTACACCCCAGTCCCATCAACCAGAATGATTTCTGTTTTGATAACACATGACACTTGTAGGAATAGAATTACTGCGACCTGCAGTATATTGTCTCCTGGGTTTTGCTGCTTTCAGTTGGGGGCGTGTCCCGCGCGCTTTGTTGTCTTTTTTTTGCATGCAGACTTTAGTGCTTTTGCGGGGTATAACTACAGTTTCTTTCAATTTTGGAAGATATTTTTTTTTATCTTAAGGTGTGCATAAATTACAGGAAAAATAAGTTTGACGTTTTTTTTTTGATGCTCAAGGTTTTTGATATTCATTGAGATTACAATGGTCATAGATTAAGTTAGTAACAGTAGATTAGAGCAGTGATAAAGCAGAAATAAGAATTGTTCTGTGAAGTGATAAATCCAAACGAAATAAAGCCCTATATTGACAGATGATGTAATACCAGCAATGAAATTAACATCACAATACTTTATATGGGGGCTGTTTACAACAGAAAAACATGTTAGGGAATAATAAATTTAATTAGAAACTTGCAATTAACTACAGATATATTTTTTAAGAAAATAGTCCTCAGATATACTAGGTTTACCTTTAAAATGACAGTTCAAGTTGCCATTAGAATTAAACAGTAATGGAATTTTCAAGTTAATGTGAAATCACTAATTTTCATTGGGGATTATTTTTTGTTGTTTTCAAGGTATTAGGGGACCTAAGAATTTATGTTAACCATAAAATGCAACTTTTTTGAACAATTCTCTAACCACAAATGAACCAATATATTTTCCCAAAAACATGAAAATTTGATCTCTCAAAAATATGTGATATTTTACATTATATTTTTATATTGAAGATATATATATATTAGTTTTATTTTACTATTAAGTATTTTATCTGACAATTATCATTTATGTTGTAGAATGGCGACACGGCACTTCACATCGCATCAGCTTTGAAGCGACGGAAAATTGCCAAACTGTTAGTGGATGCTGGAATTGATGTTAAAATTAAAAACAAGGTACAGCTGAAAATCAGTTTAAGAATGTTTTATGAGATGTTCAAAATGCTTTCCATTATATATATTTATACCAATTAAATTATCTTTTCCTGTTATTTTTTTACCAATTATTAACTTTTTACTGATAAAGGTTTCTTATCTTTTGTTACATAAAACTCTACAAATCCCAATTGCTGATAAAATGATTCAAGCAAAGATTTTAATATGTATTTGATATATAATTTGAATATTATGTGCTGATTGCAGCAAGAGGAAACAGCCAAGGATGTGGCTGAGAGGAAACAACACCCAGAAATTATCCTGATTATCTCCTCATTCTCAAGGGTAGGTATCTCTTCACTTGGATATTAAATTATCAAATTATCTCTACTTCTCAAGGGTAGGTATCTCTCTGCTAGGATATTGAATTATCCTGATATTTTCCCCCTTTTTAAGGTTAGATAACTCTACACAAGGATATTGAATTATCCTGTAGTGATTATCTCCTCTTTCTCAAGGGTAGGTAACTCTTTACTTGGATATTAAATTATCCTGTTTATCTCCCTCCTCTCAAGGGTAGATAACTCTTCACTAGGATATTGAACTATCCTGATTATCTCCTCTTTCTCTAGGGTACTGAGTTTTTTAAGGACTTTCTCTAAACTGCTTTTATATGTTCATTTTAATGGAATGTATACCAGAATTTTGAGAATATAATATGCATGGGTATGTTTTGACATAAATAAAGTGATGAGTAAAATTTAGGCTTTCAACTTAAAAAAAAAACACATTTGCAGTAAAATATTTCAAAATATTTTTTGTGTTAGGTAAAAAAAAAAGTAACTGCAGAATTCCAGACAATTCATGGGGATTCTTAACATACAAAAATATGTCCATTTTGTCTGCCTTAATTCAGCAAAAAGTAAATCAGAATACAGGTCATAAAATGTCTGTCATTTAGCTTAGAAGAATTGTCTCTGTGATAGGTTTACAGGCTGTATGTGATTTATTTCTGTGGTCTGTAAACATTATTGTCCATTATTAGCTACAAATAAATACTGACCTCTAAATCACCAGACATTGGCCCCTCACAATACCACGAAAATGGAAGGGGGCTGTACTACAAAAATAAAATGTATAACTGTGGTTATGAACTTTACTATTTAAGACTCTATGTAACTAGGGATGGGTATCGCCAAAAATTTCGTATCGCGATATATCACGATTTTTTTCCCACAATATCACGATAATATCATGATATTTTTAAAAGCAGTTTTTACAATGATTTTATATGAAAAGTTATTATTTTTCTAATAAATATGCTAGAAAAACGAAATTTTACTTTCTTGAAATTTTTATGTATATAAAATCAATTATGATTGTCGGTATGATGCCGTTCTTTTCACTTTTTACAACATATTTTATACTTTCTGTAATTGTAATTTGAATGATTGAACAAATAAATGAATAATTTCTGGACTTTATAATGTGTACCTAAAGACTGGTATTTAAGTCTCCGTATCACGATTTACCGGTATACCGATAAAATCACACATCCCTATATGTAACTATAAAAGTCAAACAAAGATTTGGCCTAAACCAATTATTTGGCTTAATGTGAGAAAAGAAAATATATTTTGCATGTCAAATTCCTGTAAACTTATTTTGGGGTAGGAAAAAAAGGGGGGGGGGGGGGGATTTGTGTTTTTGCAAAGTTTGGTGGAAGAATCTTCCTCTTATCATTTTCATATATATATAAAACTTGTATGGGAAAAAACTTATTTTGTAAATTTAAGCATACTGAAAGATTGGTAAAAATATGATGCTTTCAGATGCCTGAGTTTATTTTTTACATTCTTATTTTTTTATAACTTTAACTTTATTACTGGTAGATTTAAATTTCACGGCATTTTAATTGACAAGGAGTTAAAAATTTGACTAATGAAACTAAATACCCAAGTTTTTAATGCCCTTTAATCTATATCAAATTTAAAGTGAAAGATCATGCTCTTGCATATTTGAATTACTCACAATAAATTAGAAGAATTTATGTCTAAAATATGGTTATAAATTAACAATAATCCCTTTGGACACCTTTTTTATGTTTCCTAAATACAGAAGTTTGTGTAACACCAAGTTTTTATTGCGCAGTAATCCTGGGTCCTTGTTACATTTTTTAAAATAAAAAAAAAGCATCTAGTTCTTTCGTTTTAGAAACTTTAATTCATTGAAAAAAGAACTTTCATTTTAACATTTATATCCAAGGCATGTTCGACTTCAAACTCTGTAATATACACAGCTACAAAATTGCCACAAAAAGGATATGATCTTCAATTTTTAGTTTTCTATAAAAATAAAAGTTCCCAGTAAATAAAGTTCAAATTGAATGAAGATTTTTGGGGCGATCAATATCTAAGAAAAAATAATACAAATTTGAGAATGGAGGTCAATGTGCACTTAAAATTAAGTCAGCTGATTGTGAATGAAATGAAAATGAAGCCGCAGGTGAACTTTTTGTAATTAGTAACTTTACCTGAGAAATTTTAATCTCTCCCATCAAAACCCAGCATAGTATTTAATTACGTGAAATACGAACCCAAGTGACACGTTACATAATACCTCAAGGCTAGATTCATAGTAGTATGGGATTTTACATTAAAAATACATCAAATTAAAATATAATTTCTCTAAATTAACCCCTATGTGTGAAATATATGATATGTCATTTCTGCATTAATTCATTAAGAGTGAGATTTTCAAAAGAATATCCAATTTTTTAATATTTTTAAACAAATAATTTTTTTAAACCTAAATATCCAGCTTTTTTATATGAAAAAAAGTCCATTAAATTTGCAAAGATCATGAAATAATGCATTATATGAAATAGTATATTAATTATGAGATTACATACATTTACTTCTTAGAATGTCAATTTAATTTAAAATTTGGATAGTCAACAGTTTTCCTTTTTAAATTAAAGTAAGTTCAGTTATAAGTACTAAAAATTTTGAATCATTTGCATTGAACACCAAAATTTGTTCAAGTATAATGTGTAGTGTTTATCTGATAGGTCTAACTTTATACATATAAGGTTCTTCACTTGACTTCTTTGAAGTTAGGAAATGGTCTCTTGTAGTAGCATCCAGGCTGTTGCTCAGACACAGTGATAACCATTATAATTTAATGTGCCCCTCTCCTGTCTGTCACTGGGCTGTTTACACTTGTCATTATCACCCACAGGGGGCTCTAAGGTCGTGTTCCTTCAATCAGGGCCTGTTACATCACCCCTCACACTTTGATCTACAAAGGTTTGTAAAAATGTCGGCTCATGTCCCCAAGTCATGCTGATTGACATTCTCCAATCTACTGCCACCTCACAAAGGAGAGAGAGAGGGACAGTGTTAAAGCCGGGGAGAGTGTGGTCCATCATTACTTCACAGTCTTACATTGTGATTACGATAGTGTTCAGACTGGGGGTAGTTAATTATAGCCCTGACCTAAGCCTGTGGATGGTAGACAGTGGGGACTTTTTGTGGACGTGTGGTGATCAGTGATAATTATATTGTGTCTTATGATAGGTGATTGAGAGTGCACACCTCCTATCCTGTCATTACTGTGTTCGCTCTCCGACAATCGTCCTATTATAACTTTTATATTATCTTAGAACCAAGTGTCTCTGGCAGTTCAGTCCTAAGGGTTTGTTGTGAGCAGATGTGGATAAACTAAAAGTGAACCTTTGTGAATCTTGTATGATATATCAAGGAATGTTCAAATGTTGAATGATAAAAGTCTCATAGTTTAAAGGATATTAGAAAACAAAAGGACTTTTAATGGTCAAGGGATTGAAGAAAGTCTTATTGCATCATCTGTGTTCAGATATAGAGGACAGTATGTTAATTTGTCTTGTTCATGACTCGGCCATTATGGAATCCCAAATGAAACTCAGTATCCCAAATCATGATCTCATGCAAATTTTGCCGACAGAGAGGCTGCAACTTGTTCATGACGATAGTGTTCATGTGATCCCTAACGACAGTTACCATGAATACCAGAACATTCTGGACTTTTCTTTAAACAGCAGTGTTTTCTCAGTAAGATCATAGATCGAAGGTTTATTTTATATGGTGATATTTAATTTTAATGAAGTTTATTTAATGAAGCAGAGGTTTACAAAATACATGTACTAGAAAATAAATCTGCCTTTTCATTTTTTTAAGTCCCAAAGTTTATTTTTTGACAATATGAATTAGAATAGAACAATGTATTTAGTCCTATGATTGTTTGATAGTTTTTGCAGATATTGCTTGCCATTGCCTGTAGATGACGACAGGTTTGACATGTTAATTTTTGTTCTCGTTACAGCCTAAGACCCCCGCTAAGACGGTGAACTTTAAGGAGTACCCTATAGATCTGGAGGGACCAGTAGTTGTCCCTGAGGAAGAAGTCCCCCCTAAACCGGTCAAACAAGAGAAAAAATTCTTTGACTTTTTCAAAAAGAAGAAAAAGGTTTGTAAAATGCATCTCATCCTATTTTTGATCAGTGTTATTATTTTGTAAAGAAAAAATTATGAATGTATATTTGCATAGGCCACATAAACTAAGTCAGTTTTCTTTTTTCATTTTTTGAGATCAGTTGGTTACATTCCAGTGTAGTTTTTTCTTGAATAAATATTATTATAGAACTGCTTCAGTGTTTTATTTTTATCTTCCTATAATATTGTAGGACAAGGAGAAAGATAAAACAGACTCCCCGTCGACCCCTAACACGGGGAAAACAGACCCCTCTGTCCAGGGCTTCTTCAGCCAGTACGTCCCTAAACCAGGAGTCCAGTATTACAGGGATCTAGCGGGGAACATCAAACAGGTAACGTAGTCTTCTGTGTCATACAGGCCTTGTCTCATAGTTCTACACAGGCATTTAATGCAGATCTTGTTTAATAGTATATACAGGCATTTAGTATTCTGCATGTATAGGCATGAAGAGTCTCGTATACTTTAGCAGTTACATAAAGCTTATATGCTTGAATCAGTGCAATTATACACCATTCTTTTAAAATAGATTTATAGTATTGGACTTCTTTGTGATGTCCATCTGGAATTATTACAAGTACATACGAGGGCTGTTCAATAAATAATGTCCTCGGTGCTCAGAAAGGTGCAAATGACGCTTTTCAATGATTTAGTCTTCATGATTTTACTTATTAATCTCTCTTAATTCAAACACCTGTGCATAACATTTTTTATCCAATTTCTGATTGTTTTTAGCTCTACTGGTCAGAGACCAGAAGAGCTTATGCGATAGTAATGCGTCCGTCGTCCGTCCGTCTGTCTGTCTAGCTGTCCGTCTGTCTGTCTGTAAACAATTTTTCAAAATGCTACTCCTCCTACAGTTTTGATCTGATTTCAATATAACTTGGCACACAAGTAGACTACACTAAGATACACAATTCTGTGTATCGGTTTTTGATTTCGTTGAACGGTGTTGCCGTGGTTACTAAAAATAGAAATTTCTGTGAAATTCTTTCAAAATGCTACTCCTCCTACAGTTTTGGTCTGATTTCAATATAACTTGGCACACAAGTAGACTACACTAAGATACATAATTCTGTTTATCGGTTTTTGATTTCAATGAACGGTGTTGCCGTGGTTACTAAAAATAGAAATTTCTGTGAAATTCTTTCAAAATGCTACTCCTCCTACAGTTTTAGTCTGATTTCAATATAACTTGGCACAAAAGCAGACTACACTAAGATACATAATTCTTTGTATCGGTTTTTGATTTCGATGAACGGTGTTGCCGTGGTTACTAAAAACAGAAATTTCTGTGAAATTCTTTCAAAATGCTACTCCTACTACAGTTTTAGTCTGATTTCAATATAACTTGGCACAAAAGCAGACTACACTAAGATACATAATTCTGTGTATCGGTTTTTGATTTCGATGAACGGTGTTGCCATGGTTACTAAAAATAGAAATTTCTGTGAAATTCTTTCAAAATGCTATTCCTCCTACAGTTTTAGTCTGATTTCAATATAACTTGGCACACAAGTAGACTAAACTAAGATACACAATTCTGTATATCGGTTTTTGATTTCGTTGAACGGTGTTGCCGTGGTTACTAAAAATAGAAATTTCTGTGAAATTCTTTCAAAATGCTACTCCTCCTACAGTTTTAGTCTGATTTCAATATAACTTGGCACAAAAGTAGACTACACTAAGATACATAATTCTGTGTATCGGTTTTTGATTTCGATGAACGATGTTGCCGTGGTTACTAAAAATAGAAATTTCTGTGAAATTCTTTCAGAATGCTACTCCTCCTACAGTTTTAAAGTCTGATTTCAGTATAACTTGGCACACAAGTAGACTACACTAAGAAACACAATTCTGTGTATCGGTTTTTGATTTCGTTGAACGGTGTTGCCGTGGTTACTAAAAATAGAAATTTCTGTGAAATTCTTTCAAAATGCTACTCCTCCTACAGTTTTAGTCTGATTTCAATATAACTTGGCACACAAGTAGACTACACTAAGATACACAATTCTGTGTATCGGTTTTTGATTTCGATGAACGGTGTTTGCCGTGGTTACTAAAAATAGAAATTTCTGTGAAATTCTTTCAAAATGCTACTCCAAATACTATTTTAGTTTGATTATAATATAAATGTGGCATGCAAGTAGACTGCACTAAGAACATAAAGAGACTTAATCAAGGATCATTATTCTATTTATTGCTGTTGAAAAGTTTCAATTTCCAACTGCTTAAGTACTTTTCTCTTCCTTTGCTATAAGTACAAACCAGCAGAGCTTCAGTCTCGACAGAGACTTCTGGTTAGAACTCATTTTTGGGTATGAACCTTAGTATACTGGTAAATGGCAGATTCAATGATTTCCTGGACTTGTTTTTTCCTTCTGAAGCTGTTTTTTTCAAGTTTGGAAATAGAAACAAGTCAGAAGGTCAAATATCTGGCAAATATTGTTTATGTGAAAAAACAATAACTTTCTGTTTATCCTGAAAACCCCTTTACTCTTCAGGGCATGCGGTTTGGACGCTGACATGAAGAAATTCAGTGTAGTGGATTCCTGATTCTGGGTCCTTCCTTTAATAAACCTTTCGATTTTTTTGCCAAAAAATTGCTTTCTAGACTCCTCCAGATATTGAACTGTCTCCCCGAATACGAATTTGAACACCAATACCACTAATATTTAAGAAAATTGCATATAAATATGTCTTTGTGTTCTTGCATAACTTTGCTTTTGTCAGACCTTCGCCGTTTTTAGCTCTACTGGTCAGAGACCAGAAGAGCTTATGCGATAGTAATGCGTCCGTCGTCCGTCCGTCTGTCTGTCTGTCCGTCTGTCTGTCTGTCTGTCTGTAAACAATTTTTCAAAATGCTACTCCTCCTACAGTTTTGGTCCGATTTCAATATAACTTGGCACACAATCATTACTAAGATACATAATTTTGTGCATCGGTTTTTGATTTCGATGAACGGTGTTGCCGTGGTTACTAAAAATAGAAATTTCTGTGAAATTCTTTCAAAATGCTACTCCTCCTACAGTTTTGGTCTGATTTCAATATAACTTGGCACAAAAGTAGACTACACTAAGATACATAATTCTGTGCATCGGTTTTTGATTTCAATGAACGGTGTTGCCGTGGTTACTAAAAATAGAAATTTCTTTGAAATTCTTCAAAATGCTACTCCTCCTACAGTTTTGGTCCAATTTCATTATAACTTGGCACACAAGTAGACTACACTAAGATACATAATTCTGTGAATCGGTTTTTGATTTCAATGAACGGTGTTGCCTTGGTTACTAAAAATAAAAATTTCTTTGAAATTCTTTCAAAATGCTACTCCTCCTACAGATTCTTCCGATTTCAGTATAACTTGGCACACAAGTAGACTACACTAAGATACATAATTCTGTGCATCGGTTTTTGATTTCAATGAACGGTGTTGCCATGGTTACTAAAAATAGAAATTTCTGTGAAATTCTTTCAAAATGCTACTCCTCCTACAGTTTTGGTCTGATTTCAGTATAACTTGGCACACAAGTAGACTATACTAAGATACATAATTCTGTGCATTGGTTTTTATTTTGATGAGTGGCAAGGATCATTTTTCTATTTATTGCTGATTTAAAGTCTCAAGTCCCAACTGCTACTTTTCTCTTCCTTTGTTTTAAGTATAAACCAGTAGAGCTACAGTCTCAACAGAGACTTCTGGTTATCAAGTACATTTAATGGTGAATTTTGTTTTGATGATTTTAAGCAATAGATTCATGTTCCAATATCTGTTTGAATATAAAACAAATGTGGATAACTACAATTACTGATATTTTAAAGTAACTGTTAAGACTTTTGAACACGCCGTCGTTTTCACTCATTTTTCAAAATATAGGGTGACCTTTGAGTCCCAAGCTTTTTTACTGTCAAACTTTTCTTAAAAACAGTGTAAATTACTCCCGATATAATGTCTATCAAATTTGCTATGTGTCTTATCATAAATCATCAAATATTATTTGTTGAAATTTGGCAATCAGTACATAAGTTGTTATAATTTTTGTTGGCAAGGAGGGTACCCATTTTTGATGCCCATTATTTAATTTTTTATCATTGAAATCCACCTGCTAATTTGTCTATAGAACAGGCATCGGTTGCTGTAAATGACACATATTTCAGTGAATATTTCTTTGGGATTTTAACAAGTTTTACAGCAGCTTTAATGTAGCCTTTATTTTCACTCTAGTTTACTGATTCTTTACCATTCATTTATAATGCAGTGTCTCGAAAAGCCCTTGTTTCCCAGCTTCTCACGATGAAACTATGTGATGAAAAGTGGTCACATAAACTGTTATAAGTTCATTAAAGTTTCAGTAATGAGAGAAAGTCAAGTTTAATGTCATATGATATCTGTATTGTATGTTATACAGTTCAGGACAGTATTTATTGAACAGCCCTCATATATTTGTACTAGGGGAAGGGGAAAATAGTATTATTTAAAAGAAACACTTTTTGTTGTCTGTCTAATGAAATTGTCAGTATTACGTAATTATTGTTAAACCTCCGTTACTTGGAAATTTTATGAAAGTAAATGTAAGAATATGAATTTTATAAATGTAGTAAATTTTCAAACAATCAACAGTCCTCTTTGTTAATGTAATTTTGCTGAATCTGCATTTTTTCGTTGGCAGGGATTCTTGCTATTTTATATCCAGTGTTCATTATATTAACTTGCAAGCCATTAATTTATTTTTTACTTCCAGGGACCTATTGGATACACCCCAATCTGTCAGTGCATGCCAACCTTAAAGAAACTGGAACATCAGGTTCATACAAATCATGAACACATTTACGACCACATTGAGGCCTCCCATCGTGCCCTCAATAACCGCCTGAATCAGATCGACCAGAGAACGACGCAGCAGGTGAGAGAAGTAGACCAGAGGACCAGTCAACGACTCGCGGAGGAGGAGGTACTGTGTCAGGAGAGGCTGCGGCGAGGATTCGAGGAGGAGAGGGCCTTCATCCAGCACAGCCAGGGAAACCTCAGAGTGGACATCCATGAATGGCTGGAGGATAAGCTAGGATCTTATGGACATTGTCTGGAACATCATCACGACGACACGGCACTGCCAAGCAATAATATCTTCTCCGAAATTCATCAGACAGAAAATGGACGTTTATTTCGTTCGAGGTCGGACGAGACTTTGTCACAGTCTGACAATCACAGTGGGAAAGGGTTTCGCAAGAAGGCATTTTACGAATCTCGACAGCAAGCAATGCAGCAAATTCGTGCTTGGCAAATGCCATCTTACAGTAGGACTAATGCATATCGTGTCAGAGGATCTAGTCATAATGTGCCAGAGACAAGGACTGTTACTTTCAGTGATCAAGATCAAGTGAGGACTAATGCTGAAGTTCATATTTCAAATCCACCAAGGGAATTAACTCATGTGTCAAACAATCTCAAGGATTCACCTATTCCTAATGGTCATCAACTGTCTCAGAATTCTGTGCCAACAAGACAAAGTGAGGGAAGACCTCCTTCCAGGAACTATTCCCCCCACCCACTTCCCCGTGGAACTTCCCCCAGTGTTCAAAACAGAGGAGATCCTGTGTATGGAAGTTTTCGAGATTTCCCCCATACATCAGGAACACCTAAAAGTTCACAAAATCCCAAATATGAACAGATTCCTCCTCACAGTTCTAGGCCTACTCACATGAACAGTCCTTATCACATGCAGGGGGCTGTTCATCCACAGACTGTACCAGATTACAGAAGTCCTCATCAATACTCAGGTCAGGGGGCGGTCCCAAAACGTATCCCCCAGTCTCAGACGTGGCATCACGAACAGTATCGTAACATGCAAAATCACGAAACAAATCCTAAAACTCAGGGTGTCCCAGTAAACCAGGAACAGGTGAATAAATCACTACCTCGGAGTCAAACAGACAATTCTGGTGCTGTTCTAAGATCCTCACAAGCTGAGGTTTTCAGACGTGGAGAAGCACCAAGACAGAGTGTTCCAGAAAGGGGAGTAACCTCAAATGGATTTGTGAGAAACATCGAATCTCGGCAGAGTTTCCCAGAAAGGGGGCCCTCAAATACAAACTCCGGAGGCAATCTAAACTCTAGCGTGTCCTCCGTCGGAGCTGGTCAGGGCCCCCAGGATTCCTCCCGACCCAGCTCCGGCCGTTCCGACCGTCCCTTTATCCCCCCAAAACCGACATTCACAACATTCGGTTACGATAACACCAAACCTAGTGACAAACCACACCCTTCCACTTCTGTGCCAAATTCCACTTCAGACAATGTCCTCCAAGCGTCCACACCAAGACCTAGTTCAAACACTGAGCTTGAGAGTCCTTATGCTCAATTACCTAATAGATCTCGAACACCACATGATGAACTAGATAATAAACAGACCTACAGCTACTTCGCTGCAGTAAAAACTGAATATCCAAAACCAAATGAGATTAACAAGTCCAATCCAGGAAATGAGACACCAAGAGATGACTTGTATGTGTCAATGTCCGAGAAGCCTATTGTTAGACAAAGGGCAAGGTCATCTGAAGGTCTCTTGGACAGTGATATCACATCAGCTCATGACCTGAAAAAATTCCATCCACCCTCGACCTCTTTTGCAAGTAACCCTCACATTAGTGATAAGTCCCAAATACCCTCGCAGAGACCACAGCCTCAACCTAGACCTAGCTCTAGACCAAATATTAATCCATCTATGAATCAGTACTCAAGTGAAGCTAGAAATTCCCCTCTCCTGAAATATGGAAACCAACCAGTTCCAAACAGAGGTGCACAGACAGAGAGTGGGTATATGACAATGAAAGGTCCATACGAGGGACGACGAAGTGCTATTGACTTTGATAAGAAAGGTGGACCATACAGAACCCATGGGAACATCAGAGAAAATCCTTACGCCTCTGTGAGGGATGTCTCTTCCTATCGCTATGGTAATGGCTCACCAATGGGAAAACCTCACAGCACGTACCTTGTGAACCCAGTCTCCCAGGGTCAGTACTCGCTCAGTAAGTCTGAGTCTAATCTACTGGACAAAGGAGACCACAGCGATGATGAGGGTGGATTCACAACTCCTCGTAGAACCATGCTGAATGCCTCTCCAGCTATCCTACGTAGTGCTAACAGTCCAAAGGCTGTGTCTAACTACCCAAACGCCTACAATAAAGAGGATTCTAGTAGTAACCCAGACTCAGGGTACAGTAGTAAAATCCTCGGCTCCAGGGCTAATAATGGAAATGTCCCCAGTAACAGTGGGACTCCTTCCTCATCATTCAGTACTGACCATGACCACAGTTTGTCTGCATCTAGTAACAACCACTCCCCCCACCCAGCTGCCACGCATGATGACTACGAACAGATTCAAGACATAGCACAGGCTGTTAACCATGGACAAAACCTACAGGCTCATGTGGAGGGGTGGTATCAAAAGAAGCTGAAGGAGGCAGCTGTGAGATTACAAGAGGGACCGTATAATGAAGGGCCCAGGGACAAAAATTACAACCCTCCAGGATATAGTCCCCACAACATGAATCATCAGTACCAGCAGCATAACCCACAATACCACAGCTATCAGGCTAACCAGACTTATAATAACTTTCGACATCTTCCCAGTTATATAAGAGGAAGTGATGTGTGAGGTTATGACCTTTGACCTTCCATATGATTACATTTAACCTTGTTTATACCATTGATTGTTCTGAAATATGGCAGCAAATGTTATAAATACAATTGCATAATTTATAATGGCATTCTTGTAGATAATTATTTTGTATATATTTTATTACCAGCATTCCAAACTATATGTATTGTTGGTGCTTATTTATGTGGAAAAAAATTCTTTTTGTATTTTAATTGTGTTCATAAAATTTGTACAGAAAACATGTAAATATATTATAGGATGCAGACATTGTTTGCTTCTGTGAATGGTTGACTTCCAATTTAAATCAAGTGCTGGTTACACTTTATCAGAATGTGTGTACATGTATTGTCTTTAATATACAAATTATTTTAATGTAATATTAATTGATATAAGAAATTTTAATCAGACCTATCATAATAGTGAAACATAAATTTTATTGAAAAGTGAAAGGATGGATAAAGTTTATGTGCAAGATTTTAATTATTAAACTTTTCTTTTTTCATTTTAAATTAACATTTAAGTCCTGCTATATTTACTTGAGAAATGCACAATTTCTTTTTTTAACCTGATGTTTTTACAATCCATTTTTAAACTGTGATGTCTGTTAACATAATTTTATTATATGCTGGACATTCCAATCTCATGAAAAAATCCTCTTCAAAGTGGAATAAAAATTGTTATACTTTATTGGGTGTTTATTTTGCCTTTTTCTAACTGCATCATTGACAAGGTTAAGGTGAGGCAATGGTTGTTTGTTTCACTTCCAACTAGCTTGATTATCTCATGCACTATACCGGTGTTTGGACCATTGATGATGCTTTTTTTATCATGCAAGGAAAAGAGGTAAATGCTGTTGACAAAATTTGGCTTCTGCACTCTGAAGCCAAAACAATGAATGCTACCAAGGGGAATTACCAACATTCAGAAATATAAATCACATTACCAGTACTTGTTTACATAATATGTTGAACAAAGATGCTCTTAATGCAAAACAATTGATTTGGAGGTCAAAGTTATATTGCAAATCAAGGTCACAAAATTTTGACACAGTTGAATAACTCCCATGAATATGTACATGTATCTGTTTGAGGTTTGATTTATACTCTGTATCTTGAACAGTTATTTTGAAAATGCACTTAATGCCAGTGCAATGGAGGGACAGATGGATGGAAGACATTATATACCAAATTCACACTCTGTAGTTCATTTTTCCAAACTCATGTGTCAAGTAATTATAATTTTATAAAATGCAAACTTGACTGCCATAGGATACTTGCATTATATTTGATAATCTGCCGTTTGCAATCATGGTTTCCTACATACACACCCCTACTAATGTTATTGTGATTTAAATTCAAGACACATGGTTTAGGTTGATCTATTCAAAGGTTATAGGGTAGAACCGGTTTTATAAATAAAATTGACAGTAAACATGATATTGCTATAGCCTGTTTCTTTTGAAAACATGTCCTGTAATAAATGTTTATAGACCTTTCTGAAAGACTCTCACGATTTTCAACAGAAAAAGGGTGGCTAAAGGAAGGGGTGTTAAAATAACAATATATCTTATACTTTTCGGCGAAAATTTGAGCTCACTAGTGACTGAATCGCTGGTAAAAAATGTGCATTATCATCAACACTGACAAACCTTTGTTTGCCTTATATGGCTATTGTTATAAATGTGCACAGAGGATCTTACCACAAGCAAATGACCAATGAATGAATAGCAACGTTTACATGTTAACATTTTACTTCGAACACGTAGTTAATCTATGTTAATGTTAATGGACTGCAAAAAAAAAAAAATGTTCTTACGAACAAAATACAAAGATAAGAAACTATGAAAGATGTTACGGGCGTTTTTAATTCATTGTTAAATGGAAAAAATGTTTAATTAATAAAATCTAGTTTGTGTCTAGTTCAGAACACCAGCACTTCAAGGGTAAGGAAAACGAGCAGCATCTCTTATGCATTTAAATGGACAAAACTTTGTTTACGTTCGTGATCACGAGTTCGGCCAGGGAATTCACCTGGCAATTGTATTCACTGATAGTACAACAAAGGAATTAATACAGACGCAAATCGCTTTTGCAGTATGACTTTCAGAAACCTAGACTTCCGCTGTTTATTTAACAAATGGATTTTTTCACATTATGAACATGAAAATAATATTTTTAAAAATGCTTTTCATTTCCATAAGATTTTCCTTTTTTTCAAGCGTAAAATTACTGTAGTATTCGTAGTAACCCACAATGCAATACTCATTCAGCTGATTGGTCAGTTAAAATCATGCTGGTGCCTCATTTGCTTATCTGACGCCAAAAATATAGTCCTGGTTCCCATGCAAAAATATTTGTCCAAAAAGAAATTTTAATTCGTGATTGACTGCAGAAAATTGTATCATACTAAGAGAATACTTATTTAAGTTTGAATGAATGTAAAAGAGATCGATTGATTGAAGTACATTTCTACAGACACTATCAGCTGATAAGGGTGGTGAAAACTGAAACGCAACATAACTTTTCTGTTTACCATGCCTCCACGTGCTAGTCACTTCCTAGCTTCGTTTCCGTGAATAATTTACCCTATCTCGCTGAAGTCTCGCTAACTCTCACCAGAGCCACTGCCAGAGCTACTCTGAACTCATCGGGTTTTATTATTTGCAGAACACCGAAAAATAAAAGGTTCCAAACACATTAGTAGGGGTGATACAGTAAGACTTAAAACCATACAGTATTAAAACACGCTGTTAAAAAAAGTGCCAGGACATACTTTTTTGCTTTGTAATTTGTCATATCCATTTATATTTTGAAGTTACTGGCAATTAAAATCACTTACTTGTAAGTGTCAATTTGTTATAAGCATGTTGTCTATAACCATGTTTTACTGTAATTATCATTAATTAAGAAAAATAAATCATCAATCAAGTTTATGCCCTATTTAATGATACATTTAGTCACAACAGTATGGTATAAAACATTTATACTTCACACTAGCCACCAGGAAAAAGCTCAGACAAACCCACAAAAATCGTACACAATGTAATCCAAGGGATCCAAAATATTATAGTGTACTAGTTCTTTTTGTCAATTATCTTGATTGTCAAATGTGAATTTTTGAAACTTGAGAAAATAAATGTACAAATGATCTTCTGGATTAGTGCTTCATTTCCACACTGGGACAGGAATTAAAAGGTACACACTTTAGCGAAATACAGTACTGAGTTATCTACCCTGACACAGTGCAATCTTCCTAACAATTCACATGCACTCCATCTAAACGACAGAAATAACAGTAATATCAATCCATAAAAATATTTGAATTCAAACCAAACTATTCTGCATGAATAAGTTTCCAAATAAAAATTAGTAACACCATCATGCTGTACATGTAATATGTACATGTATTATTAAATAGCACATTCAAAATTAATGTTCAACAAACATACACACTGATAACAATACAGTACTGTTTTGTCATGAGGTTAGTAGCTTACTCTTATCTTTGTGCTATAAACAAAAAAATGATCTGAATTACCTGGCACAAACTCTACTTTAAATTGAGCCTTTATAATTCTTGCAACACAAGACATCTATATTCGCACTAACAGTAACTAACACACCCCCACCCCTCCTAATACATAATACATTAGTACATAACTGGCTATCTTAAGGAAGAATAAAAGACAAATTTGGTATAAATGTATTTCATACATACAGAAATTATGGGAATCAATTCTGACTTAAATTTCATGTAATACTCAGAGATATGTAAATAAAGATTTTAATGAACATTATTATTAATCAAAGTTCTAAGAAAATATTTCACACTTCCTCGTGTCAGGAAAATGACAGTACATGTACCATGAAAATCGTAATCTCGTGATGCCACTTTGTTCAGACACCAGAGAATCAGAAGCTGCTATAGATATCACAGTCTTTATATCGATGCCCTTCGTTGGTTTATTTTACAGTCTCTCTATGAGTATGGCCGATGCCCCTCCCCCTCCATTACAGATCCCTGCCATCCCCTTCTGGCCGGGTTTCAGACTATGGACCATGTGACCAGTGATTCGGGCTCCTGACATCCTAATATAGAACACATTATTTGATTAACATATTCTATACTGTAAAACTTGTCTATTCGGAACATAACTTGATTCAAAGAGCTTTCCAGATGTGACAACATTTAAAACATTTGAAATAACAACTTGGGACTCAAAGTTTGCATTAGGAAAGATCCTGGAATACAAAACATCCAGAGAGACAAGTTTCACTGTATTCGTTTCTTAAGATCAGTAACTTTGCTGCTTTATGAATTGTACATCAAACTGTCTCTTAAGGACGTTCAATCCTGAGATTTTGAGAGTATTTTGGTCAGGTCCTTTATTTCTAAAATTCTGCATCATTTATAAGTTCTTACATTAAATCTGAATTCTACAGTGCAAATTTAACTATATTCAATGGAAAAAACCGCGATTAAATTCCATTCAAGTAGAATTAAGCTAGGAACTATATTTCATGGCGGAAGGTTTTTTAGACGAAAATGATCAGTTTTTCCATTTTGAACTATAACAGTACTGTTAATTTTCGATTCCTATTTTTCCATCCTGGTTGCACACAGAGCTGTTTTTTGCAGTGAAATGTGTTATTATGCTGGTTCTGAAATATCTATTCAATTATTACTTATGAATTCTATCAACAAAGTGTGACAAATATAGTAAATATATTCTGAAAATCCAGGAAAAAATTGAGCCAATTTTAACGTAAAATTGACACTTTTTTAGTAATATCTGAAAATTTACATCATATACCCCCATTTTTGATGTTCTTTTCTAAATATTCAAGATAAATTTGACCTATTTGCTTCAAATGAGAAAAAGTTTAAGACTTTAAAATAATTTTCTTGTTAATTCAATGCCAGAAAAATCACTTTTTATTAGTGCAGAAAGGTCAAATAATTGATTATGCAAAGAAATTTTAAACTTTTTCTTAGTCACAATCTTTAAGTGTCTTTTTTAAAACAAACTAAGAGTTCATTTTGTTTCATGCTATAATTGGATAAAAATATTGGAGGGAAAACGTCAAAAAATTAATTTTTAACTAAGACACATATTTCAGTGCAATAAGGTCATATTTAATGTACTGTAGCGCCAAAAGAAGCACATTTACCCCCATTTTTTGATTTGAATTTTAATTAAGATATGTACGTAGAAACTAAAAATATACTTGGCAAAAAAAGTTTAAGACTTTAAATATCAGGTTCGAACGTCGTTAAGAATTTCATATGTACATTGGCTTACAAATGTATCTATGAAGACTACAGTAACTGCCTCAAACAGGATAAACTCAAAACTGAATTTTCTTCTTCTAATTTGCTAATATTTTCTATCTTTAATGATGATGAACTGACTTACCCGATGGGATGACCGATGCTGACCGCGCCTCCGTGGATGTTGACCTTGTTCATGTCAATGTCCAGATCTTTAACATTAGCCAATACAACTACACTGAAGGCCTCATTGATCTCCCACATATCTATATCCTCCTTCTTCACACCTGTCATCTCCAGCACCTGAAGAGGGAACCAATGGTATTATAGTATGTACAATAACAGACTGAGGGAACCAATCATATTGTAGAATGTACAATAAAGAGGGAACCAATGATATTGTATAATAAAAGAGGGAACCAATCATATTGTAGTATGTACAACAAAAGAAGGAACCAATCATAATGTAGAATGTACAGTTAAAGAGGGAACCAATCATATTGTAGTTTGTACGATTAAAGAGAGAACCAATCTTAAAGAGGGAACCAATCATATTGTAGTTTGTACGATTAAAGAGAGAACCAATCTTTCTGTAGAATGTAAAATTATGAATCTGCATGGTTTTCTTTGACTTTTAAAGGTGCGCCCTCAAGTTTTGGCATACCTTAGGAATGGCTAGTGCTGGAGCAGTTGGAAAATCTATTGGATGTCTGGCTGCATCAGCAAAACCTGTGAAATATTAATGTTAGATCAGCCTTTAAATTGAATTTCGAGTGAGCTTTATCAATTTGAAGACTTTTTCATTGTTGTTAAATGCAACTTACATGTATATCATTACTGTACCTGGATTGTGTCATTATGAATCAGAGAAGCTGACTATTATCTCTTTTCTGTATGAAGAAAGCCTTAACATAACAAGTTATTTTGATACTTTTTTTACCGTCCACCTTGTCTCCAATTTATCTTGTCTTACCCAGTATCCTGGCTAGAGGAGTGACCCCCAGCCTGTTAGCTGCTGTAGCAGTCATAAGGACCAGGGCACAGGCTCCGTCATTTAGTGTGCTGGCATTGGCAGCAGTAACTGTGCCTGTTATACAAAGAACAAACAGATTATCTCATTGAGAATTTATTTGTAACATTTCATGTAGACTTCTTTTGAATTTATGAATTCATTCACTGATTGTGAATTTCTTCTTAACATTTTATTCTGACCTTTTATAATATAAGTACATTGTACACTAAAGAGGCTGGGTGGTCGTGGCCATTTTTAACCTATTTTTATCTCCTTTAGAAGAAGAGCTCCATATAAAAATAAACAAAAATGAAACTTTAAAACTAATATGTATGAAATTTTTCTTTGTCAAATGATAGTTGACAGCTAAAGATATCATATCTAAAAATTTAAGTTATATCTGGTGGTTAATTTTTTGTTAATTTGTTGACCCCCCAGCCTCCTTAAAAGCAAAATGACAGAGTTATTCCCCCTCGAAACACGTACACAATTAAAAGACTGAAATCTGCCTACAATTGTGGCAAAGTAAAGGTTTATTTTAGTTGAAAACATACCATCTTTTTGGAATACTGCTCTCAAAGACGCAAATTTGTCAAAGTTAACCTTTTTGTACTCTTCATCTTCAGTCACCACCTTTGGATCTCCTGAAAAGGGAAAATAATTAAGGTATACCTTTTTGAACTTTTGTATCTAGTAAAAGGCATTCAAAGCAAAGAATGTCTTTTTCATACAAAGAGAGCTCAGAAATATTCAGAAATTCTTCAGTTTTGTATGTATATTTAATATTATGTTTTATTGTCAAATCATGAATAGATATTAAAGATGTGATAAACCCGTTACTGGGTAGACCTTTCTTCTGGGGTATCTCTACAGGCGTGATTTCCCGCTGGAATACCCCCTCCTGAGCGGCGGCCTGACTCAGTTTATAACTACGGATAGCATACTCATCCTGTTCCTGTCTGGAGATGCTATATTTAGAAGCTGTGTTCTCTGCACAGTTACCCTAGAAAGTAACACATACTGGTTTTTATGTTCATCAGTTATTAATTTGTAATTGTAAACAGCATGCATAAAAAATGCTATACTTACTCTCATAATACTCTCAGTATTCAACATAAACTTTTGAAAAGTAATTTGCTTCAAATATGATCAACAAAGCATCAATAGTATTGAAGGTTATTATTTTTGTAAATGCACATGGAAGAAAACCTACCATGTGACAATGATCATAAGCATCTGTCAACCCATCAAAGACAATGCCATCCTGTTAATAAGAGAGATAGTTTTACTTCAAAATATTCTAAAAAAAAATATACATGTTTAATACAAATGTACAGCTATGTAAACTAATGAAATTGTAACTTTTGAAACATTTATATGTCATAAACATCATTTTACACACTGTCTATGCGAGTCTTCCTTTGAGTATCTTACTTTCAGCTCTACTTTGCCGTAAGGTGTGGCCCCTCTTGCCATGTAGTAGGGGACATTAGACATACTCTCCATCCCTCCTGCCACCATCACTTCCTGTAAAATAATTAACAGGTGTGTTCAACAGGTGTTTAACATGTAACTCATCTAATGATCAAGGGACACTGAAAGTCTAGACAATTTTAACTGTCCCTAAATGTTAATTGATAGAACCTGAGAAAACACAATGAGAAGTCAGACAAGTTTTGAAACTAGAAAAAGTATTCCTCATAAAGCGAAAGTTTCAATTTGCTATTTAATTTTATGAACAGTTGTTCATAGGGTCATTTTTTTCTCAAGTTCATCTTCTGTAATTAAATTGTTCCTGCTTCTTTCAAATGACAGGGAGTACTGTAAACCAACTATTATTCGCATCATCTTTTATTCGCAATTCTTCTATTTGAAACCAATCCGCAACAACTAATTTTCGCGACTGAGGAAACATCTAAACAAAATTATTGGTTCATAGCAATTAATATTCGTGATTTACAGTTGTTTGCGGAACTTATAACCATTTCTCGCACGCAAATGAAAGTTGGTTTACAATAGTCAGAAAATATAAATACACTGACCTGATGTCCACACATGAGGTTCTGGGCTGCTAACATGATGGACTTCATCCCTGAGGCACACACCTTGTTCACAGATGAAGTGGGCACAGACAGAGGGAGGCCTACAGAACAACAAGACATTGTAATCAAAAAGGTTTATAACTATTTTCTCAGTAGCTTACAACAAAATTCTTAAATATAGAATTTGCAGTTTAGAGCTAAGTAGACAAAAAGATGTCTTTGATTTTTAGGAATGTGATTTCAAGATTATGTGTAAATTGTAAGACCTGTATAAATTTGACACGATCATTACCTGCTCCCAGTGTGGCCTGTCTACAAGGCGCCTGTCCCTCCATAGCTGTACAAACATTTCCCATGTATACTTCATCCACATCCTCTTTCTTAATACCTATAACACAGGAAAGAAATGTTAAAAGAAATCTTGTTATAATGCTATAGTGACAGATATTTAAACATTTTGTTTGTTAACTTAGTTTCTTAGTAGTCCAGAACTCAAGACAGACTAGATCACCCTGGAACTTGTAAAGATGATTTGAAGTGGTCAGAGTTCCTTCAATAACTTTTATATAAAAGATAGTGCCAGGTCATACTTTGCCAAAGTCAGTAACTGAGAGAGAGACAGACAGACAGACAGACAGATTGAGAGAGAGAGAGAGACAGACAGACAGACAGAGAGAGGGAGAGACAGACAGAGAGAGAGAGGGAGACAGACAGACAGCTAGACAGACAGACAGAGAGAGAGACAGACAGACAGACAGACAGACAGACAGACAGAGACAGACAGACAGACAGAGAGGGAGAGACAGACAGACAGACAGACAGAGAGACAGACAGACAGACAGAGAGAGACAGACAGACAGACAGACAGACAGACAGACAGACAGACAGACAGACAGACAGACAGACAGACAGACAGACAGACAGACAGACAGACAGACAGACAGACAGACAGACAGACAGACAGACAGACAGACAGACAGACAGACAGACAGACAGAGAGGGAGAGACAGACAGACAGACAGGGAGAGGGAGGGAGGTCCTAGACAAGTAGGACAAGTTTTAACACCCCTATTACCTGCTCTGTTGATGGCCTCCTCTATAGCGACAGAACCTAACTGAGGGGCCTTTAGCTGCGACAGAGAACTCTGAAACGAACCAATCGGAGTCCTCACAGCACTGGCAATAACCACCTCCTGTTAATTACGAATTACATAGTAAGTGTAACGTTCTGATTTCACAAGTACAACATTTTAGGGTGTGGGTTATGAGAATCATACAAATCTCTGTCCAATTTTAATACATAAGGCTTATTTTTAAAATTTAATTAATATTTGAAAAAGATGAAACAATTATTAAAGAATTAATAGTCCCAACACATAAATTTCAGGTTTTAAAAAGTTATACTTACATGAAGAACACTAACTTTGCTGAAATGTCTACATAATACTCCAATCTTCTTGACCTGAAATACAACTTAAAGGTTTTATTATTCTAAAATTTAGAATTCCACACTAGTTTGTCTTCCTTCAGTATAATTGTAATGGTTTAATTGGGTCATGGAATTACAAGGATTTTCCACTACCCCGTGTAGGGCCGAATATGGGCCCCATTCCCAATTGCAAAACCACTCCATTTTTCCCAAAAATGAACTGCCTATGTTCAATTTTCTAAAAAAAGAACTCAAGAAGGTAACCTGAACATAATTCACAAAATACAAACATGTTTAAGTTTGGAAATTTGAATGAAATGAACAAAATTTTGAAGAATCTTGGGTAAAACTTTATTATAATGATCAATTCTCTGATTCATAGTTCTGAATAACTAAGTAAAAGATCAATTTTTATTCATCTTAAGTATTTATTTCTTGAAAAACATCATACAATAAAATTTCCCAAGAAGTGATAAATTGTCGTAAAATTCCCAATTCGAAGGGCCTGGGCCCAATTCCCAAAAGTGAGTGGAAAATCCCTACGGATATCGGCCTGGATAGCTTAGTCAATTAAATAAGAGCACCTGACTAGTGATGCAGGGGTCCCGGGTTCAATTCCCAGTCCAGCCATACATTTTAACTTTCCTGTTACATAATAAATAACTTAATTACTGCACAAATATCTGAGATATAAACAAGATGTTTTCAGACAAGTAATATCTCCAGTTCTCTGCAAATTTTGACCTTGAAAACTGTTATAATACTGTCATATACATTGTTTAAAAAGTTGGGTTACAAAAACAATAGAGACACTAGCTACACTAATTTACATGGTAGAAATAGTACTCATACGAGGTGATAGGTCGAAGAGCACCTGCTCAACAGATTCTTCATCTGATTGGTGCTAGCGGACACACACCCTTTTCATTTTTAAAGTAAGATCAGTGCAAACACAGCAATTAACATTATAATGTAAGTCTATATAGACACATTTCTTCAAAATAAACATGTAAATCAGAATTGTAAGTAAAATTACATAATTACATGTGGATTTCTCCATAGGATGTTGAGACCCATTTTTCTCCTTTCACTTTTGATACAAATAATACGACAGCCTTTTCGTGCCACTTTCTTATAGCAGATGAAAATGGAAAAGTTGATTAAGAAAATCACTGCTTCAGACTTTGAAAATCACTTGAATTATGTCGAATGTTCGTAAAAATTAGTAAATATGCCTCTGGTCTTACGAATAACGGATAACATTTAGTTTCACAAATCGTTCTTGTTTCTATTTTATGACACGTATACCTTACCGTAATTTAGCCTTTAAAAAAAAGTGAAGGTCAACCTCTTTTAATCCAAAGCTAGCTTTTGTAAAAATATTTATCGCATAATAATTCTTTAATCTCCCGAACTATATTGCTGACTGTGAGATATTAGAAACAGGCAGGGGTTTCAACACGACAGAATTCACATGAAACGTTTTAGTCTCGATTTTACAGACTGGAATTCAGTAAGAATTATCGCATGTACTGATGTAGATTGAAGTTTTAAAATTATTTTTGCAGTAACTAATGACAACTGCATAGATATAAATTAAATTATGAGCCGAGTCGGTTGTTTGTGTAGTATATTTTCTGACTCTGAATTGCGGAAATGTAAAATGTGTTCAACAGTTACAGGTTCCCTGTAGGAGGTTGGAGGGGGACAAAGTGAAAGTAGACGTTGCAGCAGCAGGATGCCACACAAAGGTTGACTATATACTGAGGGACATAGAGCAAGGAATGGTGAACGCATGGAAGTCTGTGTTTCCTGACGCCTATAAAAATGTTCAAGTAAGTCAAACTTTGTCTTCTGTAATTGTAATTTATTGGGTCACATGAAAATGATTTATCTGTTCCGGCCGGCCACTGGAGCCCACTTGGCCAATGTTCAGTCGATAGGAACCCCTTGGACTGGGCCCTTTATATACGATGGAATCTACCTTTACATACATATATATACATGTAGATACATGTAGGGTACAGTAACAATATTATGTAAATTTTCATCAAGATTATATTGTTATAACATAATTTTAAATTTTTTTAGCTCACCTGAGGTGAAAGCTCAAGTGAGCTTTTCTGATCAACTGAATGTCTGTTGTCTGTCTGTCTGTCCGCCAGTCTGTAAACTTTTCACATTTTCATTTTCTTCTCATTAGAATCACTGGGCCAATTTCAAACTTTGATACAAAGCATCTGTACTGACTATCATCAAGTAAGTTCATAGAGAAGTTAACTCCCTTTGTAAATGCACATCCTTTATTTAGTTCCAGTGACAGGAACATGATGTAAGATGGTATGACATATGATGTGATGTGATTTACAACTTAGAAGTTTTCTCTCATGGAAAAGTTGAAACAAACATGATAAATCAGCACAGTGACTAGTAAACACTGGTAAACAATTTCTACAGTTGTAAAAATCTCGTGCTCCCGCGAAAATTATAATATTGGAACTAAATCCGGAAAAATCTAACACTCAAACTAAATCCGGAAAAAAGGTTTCGTACAATGTTAAATTTGCTGTAACAGCATCCATGGGTGAAGGGGAATTTGAATTATTAAAATGAAGGACCAAGTCCCCTTCCAAGGGGGGAAAATCAAGAAAAGACAAAAATTTTCCAAATCATGACCCCTGGGGGTCACAGTTTATATTCCAGTTGGGAGGATCTGTTTAAGATCAGCTAGAATAGCCAAAGTTGCTCAGGTGAGCGATTTGGCCCATGGGTCTCTACACTTTGATTTTTGAGCATTAAAATTGCTTTGGTATTATCAAATTTTATCTTTTTTTTTTTTTTTGGTAACAGATTTCCTGTGGTGATATTTTTAATGAGGCCCCTGCTGCCCATGCCTTAGTAAGAGTATATTTTTATATTTCTTCTGCATTCTCTAATAGTAGCTGTTCACATTTAAGCAGCAGCTTTGAATTATTGAAAAATTAGTTTAAATTAAGAATTTTTTTCATTTAATGGTATCAGTGACAAATTGAAATACATAGTTATTGACAATACTACTCTTATTTATTTGAGGTGTCCTCAACAAATAGTTTTGGTTTTATGGACATAGGAATTGACATGGTGTACTCCAGGCACTTTGGATGGCAAATGTAAGTCATAAATTACTGGGGGTAACATTTTTTTCCTATAAACAAAAACACTGTATTCAGAAAAAAATACCAATGTTAAACAAAAATGCACATGCCTTTAGAAACATATAAAGAGAAAGAAAGAGACAGATCTAGAACTAACAGAATTATATTAAGGACTCACTACGGAAAATGTCAGACAAAATCCAGTCTCTTATTCCCCTGGATCCAGTGGTTAATAGACCCCTCACCAAAGTATAAAAAGTTCTTGGGGGATTGAGGGAGGGGGTATGTATGGCATATATATTATCCATAATACACAAATCACATACATTTAAATATCATACCCAGATTATATAATCATGCTTATTTTATATTTTCTATACATCTTTCTGTATGAGTTGGTATGTTGTAATTCACAGGCAGGAACGCTTACAAAAAGTAATTCGAGAAGAGCATGATGGTGAACTTTTAGTTGTAAGTTTATAAGTTTTATGTCGTGTACACGTTTCCTGTTTTAAAAGAGACAGAGGGCAAGGCTTATGACAAGGGTGATAACTCTTGTCATACTCCAAAGTCTATTGTTTATACTATAGTAAACAGGTATTCTATATAAGCTTTTGACACAACCTATCTATAATGAACTCTCTCTCCTTCTAATGTCCACATGCATTTCACTTTAATGTTTGACCAATTTTTATCATTCACATCTAAAATCAGAGTGTGGTGAACACAATGTAACATACAGGGTGTTTCAGAAAACATGCAACCATTTACTTTCCCCACCATATTGATATGCAAACAGGAACATATGAAAGTGTTATATAAAATTATGCTAAAAGGGCTAAAGTTTTTATCAATATCAAAAAATTTAGAAAATTATTACCATTTTAATTAATTATGACGTCATATTTGACATCACTGAAAAAAGCGAGTTCAACATTTTTAATGTTGAATTCATCAGGAATTCCGATTCTGCTTAATCAGAGCATATCACCAGTTCATTTGATTACAGTAATGCATGAAAATAAGGTTTACAGAATGCAAAGAACTTACTTATAGCAATATAAAGTGGAAGTTGTATAAATATGTTCAATTTTGTAGCTAATGGAATAGTTAAACTTGATCAAAGAAAAATGGGGGGGGGGAGAGATTAAAAAAAAATTAGAACACTTGAAAACATTTTGAATGTTACTAAAGAGGCATTGTTCCAGAGACTCACATGAAATCCTTTTGAAAAATAACTGAGTTTGTGAACAAATTGAGTGAGTAAAGTGTAGATCAGATGCTGAAATACGTTTTGAATCTTAAACCTTGGACTTGGTAGAACAAATGTTAGCAGGACAATTCAACTCTTTCAAATCCATTAAACTGGGCTCCACACTCACCTGACCTAACACCCCTTGAGTTTTACCTGTGGGGATATTTAATGGTCAAAGTGTTTACCCCCCCACCCCCACCCCACCCCACTCCCCCCCCCCCCCCCAAAAAAAAAAAAAAAAAAAAAAAAAAAAGAAGAGAGAAAAGAACCCAAAAATAGTTTGAAAAATGAAACCTAATTCATTTCCAATAGACTCTTTGTAATAGAATGAGAACTTTCTTCCATCGGATAGATTTTATTCTTTCAGCAAAAATGACGCCATTTAGCGCATATTTTTTTAACTAAGTGAAATTTTACAAGTTTCTTTTTTCTTTTGTAATTCACTATCTATTTGCTGTATTAACTTTATTTTAATAAGAATAAATCTTGAAGTTGTGACTTTTAATTAGATATATTGGTGCATGGTAATGATCGAAACACCAGTAAAATCTAATCAATCAAAATGGTTGCATGTTTTCTGAAACACCCTGTACTTGGTACTGACAGTGTCACTGTTCATAATCATAATATGTAGTTTAAATACAAAATGTTTGAATCACCAAGCTGGACTGAATCCATTCCTAGTTGTGAATTGTTTGCCTTCAGTTTTGAAAAGGACTGTAGTTACTGTACATACATGTATATGAAATTATCAAAATTGCTAGTATCATTTTATGCCCCCGTAATCGAATATTTAGGAGTACCATATAAAGTTTTTAGCTCACCTGAGCCGAAGGCTCAAGTGAGCTTTTCTGATCAAAATTTGTCCGTTGTCTGTCGTCGTCGTTGTCAGCGTCGTCGGCGTCGGCGTAAACTTTTCACATTTTCATCTTCTTCTCAAGAACCACTGGGCCAATTTCAACCAAACTTGGCACAAAGTATCCTTGGGTGAAGGGGAATCAAGTTTGTTCAAATGAAGGGCCACGCCCCCTTCCAAGGGGAGATAATTATGAATTTGTGAAAAATTTATGGCATTTTTAAAAAATCTTCTTCTCCAGAACCGCTGGGCCAGGAAAGATGAAACTCATGTGGAAGCATCCTCAGGTAGTGTAAATTCAAGTTTGTTCAAATCATGACCCCCGGGGCAAGGGTGGGGCCAAAATGGCCGACCCAAGTTTTACATAGGAATACATAGGAAAAATCTTTAAAAATCTTCTTCTCCAGTACCACTGGGCCAGGAAAGATGAAACTCATGTGGAAGCATCCTCAGGTAGTGTGGATTCAAGTTTGTTCAAATCATGACCCCCGGGGCTAGGGTGGGGCCAAAATGGCCGACCCAAGTTTTACATAGGAATATATAGGAAAAATCTTTAAAAATCTTTTTCTCCAGAACCACTGGGCCAGGAAAGATGAAACTCATGTGGAATCATCCTCAGGTAGAGCAGATTTAAGTTTGTTCAAATCATGACCCCCCGGGGCAAAGGTGGGGCCAAAATGGCCGACCCTAGTTTTACATAGGAATATATAGGAAAAATCTTTAAAAAAATATTTTTCTTCAGAACCACTGGACCAGGAAAGATGAAACTCATGTGGAAGCATCCTCAGGTAGTGTGGATTCAAGTTTGTTCAAATCATGACCCCCGGGGCTAGGGTGGGGCCAAAATGGCTGACCCAAGTTTTACATAGGAATATATAGGAAAAATCTTTAAAAATCTTTTTCTCCAGAACCACTGGGCCAGGAAAGATGAAACTCATGTGGAATCATCCTCAGGTAGAGCAGATTTAAGTTTGTTCAAATCGTGACCCCCCGGGGCAAAGGTGGGGCCAAAATGGCCGACCCAAGTTTTACATAGGGATATATAGGGAAACCTTTTAAAATCTTCTTTTCAAGTACTTCAGAGCTATGATTTGTGATATTTATATGGAATCATCCTCAGGTAGTGTAGATTCTAGTTTGTTCAAATGATGAACGCCTGGAGGGGGGGTGGAGTAAATTCAAGCCTGATGTGCTCAGGTGAGCGCTGTGGCCCCTGGGCCTCTTGTTCCCCCATCCATCCATTTGTCTGCATGTTTTTCCACATAAACTCTAACCTTGCCCTTAACTTTTGATTGGATGGGGCTACAGCTTTCATATTTCACAGGTGTATTTCTTGTGACAAGACCTTTCTTTGGGTACCACCAAATTTGACCTTCTGACATTGACTTTGGAGTTTGATACACTTTAAGATTACGACACTTTAACCTTGGCCAAAACTTTTGAACAGTAGGTGCTAGGGCTTTTAGACTCTACATTTGCATTCATTGTGACAAGACCTTTTGATGAGAACCAGGTTATAAATATTTTTGACCTTGACCTTTGAGGTTTTTTTTCAGACTCACTTTTAGAAAACTTTAAACTTGGCCATAACTTTTGAACATTTAGCATTTAGGGCTTTCATACAGATTCCTGTATTCTTTGTGACAAGACCTTTCTTTGGATACTAACAATTTTGATCTTTTGACCTTGACCTTTGGAGTTTGACTTGCATATGAGAAACTTCAATCCTTGGCATAAGCTGCCATACAGGGGCATAAGTGTTTCACAAACACATCTTGTTTTATTTTATCCACTAAAATCAAATAACTTTAAAAACTTTAACTGGGTATGGTAAATCATGAATTATCATTTTAAGCAATTGAAAATGCAGGTAGTCATTGTTTCACTTTCGTACAATTGGTTTTTGTTCACTACTTTCACTAAAATATAGGATTAAGGATTTAGACTGTCTGTCTGTTACACTATGGTTTCCATATGATACCTCAAAAAGTTTTTGTGTTTTAGCAATAAAACCCTTAAGAAAACTTGTGTGGAGGTTTTGAGGTAATAAGGTAGAGGTCAAAAATTAATACTGCAGTATATTTCATGAAAGGCTTTTCATTGATACGTTAAATTTTTTTTTAGATTTTGCATACACTTTATTTTTAAAATATCATAACTCCCTATGACTAAAGGAATATTGCTTTGAAGTCAAAAGGTTGAGGTTGTCTTACCAGTGCTGCATTCAAGATCATAGCAGAAAGTCTAGCTCCTAGGCAAAATACTTGTTCAAGATGCTTCAGGCTAGCATTCAGTTAAAAATGGAATCTCTTCGTAGAGCTCTGTAGCTACACTACACTTATATTGTGAGGAGGAGATTATTCTTTGTATTATGATAAAGCTGGACACGATTCGTAAAAGGAATGTGTCCGCCATTTTTGTTCGGAGAATCGCTATATACCTGCAGACCCCTATATAAAGGGCAGGACTTTGTCATGTCTCAGTGTAATCAGTAGACTGTGTAGACGGACGTATGCTATACAATACTTGGTAGCGACAATGTCACAATAATAATGTATACTTCATCTAATGCGGGAAAGTAAGATACCAAAGAAACTTACAATTATAGTTGCACAGGTCAGTGCAGCATACAAACAAACACAGATACATGCACTCATAACTGCAATAAAATGTAAACAAAGGAAATGCAAGATTACCAGCACGAACACGGGTCGCCATTCCATGCCGATACCAGTGACAATAAAGCAGTCAGGTGTGATGAATCTGAAGAATATCCCCTGGTGTTGATGTATCATAGACAGAAATATTGAAAATGGCGTATGCCTATTTATGAGTTGTGTTCAGCTTTAACTATTATTTGTTATTCTTGTTAATAGAAGACTTACCGTTATGTCTTGATTTCAGGGGCAAGCTGTAATTATTCCAGCCTATGATGAGCAGGTGCCCCCTAAAGAGGAGGATCTAAAGGGGTGTAATGAGGAAATCCCCATCAAGTACCTGATTTCAGCCCCAGCCATGAGGGTGTCCCAGTGTGTAGAAAAAACAGTGAATGCGTATTTGGCATTTAGAGCTGTCATTTTAGCAGGTAAATCTTATTAGTAATTTTACTTAACCCTATGTCAAGTGATAGGAAATTTATCTAAATATTAATTTTGACTGATAAAACTATGTATATAATATGTAATTGTACATTGGATACCATATATGAGGGTTGTTTGAAAACTAAGTTTGTGGATTTCTGTCATATCTTTTTTATTTGATGTCATATGTTATCCAAATTTGGTATGAATAATTTAACAATAAATTCAAATGATTTGTATGAATTTTTATTAAATATCATGATTTATTCAAATCTTATCTAAGATTTAAAAAATGCAAAAATCGGGTCGCAGAGCAGGTCAAAATTTAGTAAGTTACAAACAATACACTAAATAATGTCTGTAGTCATATTCTCAGTGAAAATGGAACAAAAACAAAAAGCAACCTTAAGAAATTCAAATTAAGAATTGTCACATCGATTTGTATTCCAAATTATGGCTTGATATTTTGCTTTGTTGAAAAGAAATCAACTTGAGAAGATAGGTAGATCGTGTTGAAAATTACAAAAACGATGTTTTAGAACGTCACGGAGCAGCAGATAATGATGCAATTTTGTGTTTTACTCAGGAAAAATCTTGAATAAACTCTTAAAATGCTGGAGGAATAAAAATAATATGTCACAAGCGAGTTGTGCATATGTGAACAGATAGTACAGGCAGTATTTGAGTGACAAAGACTCTGTATCGGATGAGGACAATCTGTGAAGAAACCGTTTCACTGTAAAAATCTGAACAAAAACTTTAAAAAGTTGGAACGTCAGGGAAAAACATAGGCGCTTCAGAATTGCTTATCCTGTGAATGCTGAGTTAAGTAATGAAAGAAATTAAAACCTCAACAAGAAAATTATACATCGAGAACAATTGTTAAAAAATAAATGTCAATTATTAGAAAAAAGTTTTTAATGAGTGGAAATTGGATAACACTGTGTGAAATGTATAAGGATAGTTTGTTTTTTTTTTTAAGACATTCTTGACGCTAAGTTTTGACGTTACATTGCCGTTAAGTGTGCTCCATGGGTACAAAACATGTTGAATTTAAAATTAAATAAATTGATTTCTGTGAAATCGAATGGAATGAAACTTCACACATCAACAAAACAAATATTTTTGCATATTATATTGTGCTTATTTCAAATTTCTAGTGAGTAATATAATGAAGATTGACAGCATCCACGAAATTTTTGAACAACCCTCATATATCTGATTTACCAAATGCTAACTATCTGTACAGAACATTTTATTGAATACCAGGTAGTCCTTATTAATATTTTAAGATTAGGTATTTTATTAAAAAAAAAGATGTTTGAACTATTTATAGTACAGAAACACAATAAGAAGAACCCTGATGACAAGATTTTCAGTGTGCTGTGTCCAGGTATGGGGACCACGTTAGGAATGATGGATCATCAGTACAAACAATGTGCACAACGGGTATGTATCTGTATAAAGGGAGGGTACTCTTGTCATTCTGTTATTTTGCTATTTTGTCTGATTGTACAATAAAGGACAATGCAAAAGAGAATGTTAAGATATAAGATGTTACTGGCTGGATTTTGCAGAAAAGTTGACCTTTAACAAAGGGAATTAGACTTTTGCTTTAGGCTCATGGGCCACAAGGCTAACCTGAACACTAAGGTGACATGAAGCACTTTATATACTTTAAACATGGATAAACATGTTAACTATTTCAACTTCTTCTCTGGAATCACAGAACCAATTCCAACCACTATGTTAGGATGCCTTCACATATGTTTTATCTTTTCTGCCTCAATGGTTTCTTAAAAGAAAATTTTAAATGAATCCATTTTATTTTCACTAATGCATAACTATAATTTCTCCATGAAAGAGGTTAGGACCTTTAATTTGAATAAAGTTGAATTGATTCTCTTCACCAGAGTTTGATTGAAATTAGGTCTTTGGTTTTATAGAAGATGATAATAAAAAGTTTACAATGATGATGATGGTGATGCCAGCAATCTTAGACAATGGATAAAATTTTCCATTTTGATTCTTTGGCTCAGATGGGAAAAAATGCTCTCCTAAAGAACACCAGGGCCAAGGAAAGTGCACCTGTAGTGAGCCCTTAAATCACATCAAAATTTAAAATAACTACTGGGGTTTATGATGAAAAAAATCTTTGATGAAATACTGCATGCAGGGTGAATATTAAATGGGAACGCATTTTCTCCAGTAAATGTATATAGTTGTCATGCAAATCCTGCCTTAAAGGTAAAAAAAAAGAACTAAGAAACAGTTACTGATACTTGTTATCATATGAAATGATTTCTTTTTTAGATGTGTTTGGCTTATGAGACACATGAACTGAAGCTTCCAGAACACAGGTTTAGAGTGTGTCCAGAGAGTCTGTGGTCCATGAACATTGATCAGACAAAGATGGTGGAGGTGATTCAGCTCTATATAGATTCTCTGTCTTGATTAAATCAGCTTAAAACTGTTATTAGCTCACCTGAGCCAAATGTTTTGTTGTATAAAATGAATCATACTGTGTAACCAAATTCTCTTAATTGTTTGACAAACAGTGCATGGTCATGTTTGTAGAATAAAAACTTGACTTGCTGTTTGTCTCAATCTGATTCAATTCATAACTCTAATCAGATCCAATAATTTTGATTTTTAGAAGCTTTCTTGATTTCAATTTTTATGGGTCATGTGGCATGTGAATAACTGAATTTTTTTTAATCAACAGATTGCAGATGAACATGATGCATCACCATTGCCAGATTCTAACCAAGCTTTTAAATATTGACATCTAGAAGATAAAATATGGATACAACTATAAAGAAACAATAAATATCTATTCAGTGGCAAAAAAAACAATATCTGACCAAATTATACATGCCCAGAAGCAAAAAGTATATTTTTTGTTAAAATTTTCTTTAAGGAACTGACATCATCAATAATTATTTAACATAGTTCTGAGCAAGTATTATAATTTATGTGATATATTATGTGAAATAGTAACAGCTTTCATTCTTAGAGATATTTTAGTACCTTGATTTGGTTTGGTACGTATATTTGATTATTTGTCTAGAATAGTTCTTTTAACAAAAACAATGAGTTACCTCCCTTTAGCACATTTTTAATGAACATTCATTGTTAATGCTTTATTTTATTGTGAGTACTGTTATTATGCTTGTAAATTCTATAGTAATAACTGCCACCTGAACTGTGAATTCTCATAATTCAGAAATTATCTTGGAATACACTACATTTTAAGTCTTGGGCATCAATGTTTGTTGATTATTAAGCAAAGTTTTATTGGTTCTTGGGGACAATTTTGTGGGTAATTCCTGTATACAGAAGGTCCAATAAATCGATACATTGATGAAATAATCATGTGTGGAAATGTAAATTATTGGGTAGGGTGACCACAAAATCCAGGAACATTGATTAGCCCACAAACAATGATGATTCTACATGTGATAAAAATAATGTTGATAAATTAATTCTTATTGAACTCCATACACTATTACTCATTGAATCAGAATTATTTGATGATGTTCATTTTAGACTTACCTTAAGCAAGTTACCAGTATCAAGAAATTTAAACTGAAATTAACTAAAGTTAGCCCACTTTGCAACATTTTATACTTGTAGATGTATAACGTGATGATTCAAAATACATGTGTAATTTCATATTTGAAAATGGATTGTTTGATGACTATCACCCCCAAAATAAAGCTTTGTTTTTACTACATGTATTTGTTTTCTCTTTGTTTATCATGATGTTGTTTCTTAAAGGGTGGAGGAATATGAGGTAATATTTTACAAAGAAATCCCCATGTTTACCATGTATACCTCTCTGTTCCACTACATTTCTGGGTACTAGCTCTATAATAGGAAAAATACTTAGCACAGAAGAGGCAAATATGACATGAGAATTACCTGCCCTGAAACAAACTCACAATGCTTGGTAAAGGATACAGAATTCTGAAGTGTGCAGTTCTTTTTCAGACCTTGACTGTAATGAAGAGATCATAGACACTCATGTTGGTGTCATTTCGAAAAATATTAATTAATACCAGGTTAAAACTTTAGTGGATTTACTTGAAATTTTCATGCGAATCAAAATAACGATAAAAAAAAGCAACTGACTTATAGGCGAGTATAAATCACTGCTTGTCTGCTTGCATGTCTTTCCCTCCACCTGCATGTCTGTCCCTGCAAACTTCTCCGGGCTATATCTTATTTATGGAGAAACTCTGAATTAATTAAAGCTCGATCAATCATTATGTTTACTATATAGTAGTACAGAGATTGTTAATGTGTCCTGACATTGACCAAAGGTCATTGCAGAAAGATGAAGGTGACTGGCTGAAAAATTATTAAATTCTTCATTCATTATTAAATTTTGCATGTCACTCAGTTGTAAGAGAGAATCACTTGGAGCTTATGCTAAGGTATAATGGAAGACAGACATCTCGGCCCAATGACACCTTGACCCGTGAAGGTTGACGGGTCGGTCCAAAATTATTGACACGTTGGCTGAGGGGTCGGTATATTAATATACATAGCTTATGAGTACAATGATTGTTTTAATACATACCAAGCAGCTAGGGTGTGGTGTGAAAGCATCCTAGGGTACTGTATATTCTAAATTGTTCAATTCATGACCCCCATGGAGGATGGGACCAAAATAGATCGATATTACAAGGAGGAATCTGAAGAAGAGAGCAGGGCCAGCCACTCAGGTTAGTGATGAGCCCATGGGCCTCTTGTATACCTAGCCATTATTTTTCACATATTTAAATTAGAATAAATTTGAGTGAATTTTTAAAAAAAAAAATAAACATTGTGGTTATCCTTGAAATAAATAAGTCAAATTAGCATTTTTCACACACACAAAAAAAATGCACGAAACAGTTTAGTACCGAGTTGTCTAGCACCCGTTTACGTTGTTGTCATTGTTGCTGTGTGATTAAAATAGAGTTTCAAATAAAGTTGGAAATGATGTCATACCTATATATTTATCTTGACAATTAAGGTAGTGTAAATGTAACTATTTTTTCACTCTTCACGTAAAGATAAAATGAATCAGCAGGCACAGGCCCCTTCGGAAAAATCAGAAGAGGACAAAGTGAAAGTAGAGGATGCCGCTGCAGAATGTCCAGTTGTCTACATATTGAGAGACATAGAACAAGGAATGGTCAATGCCTGGAAGTCTACCTTCCCTAGCTCGTATAAAAATGTTCAAGTAAGTTAGTTATTTGTTACTATACTGATTTGATATTAACCCCCCCCCCCTAAAAAAAAAGTCTATGCATGATTTTTGAATTACGAAAAAGAATTCTCATATATGTAATATTCCCACACTTTATCAGATTAAGTAATGAAGTTTTTGATTGCATTTAATATTAATTAATCTATTTTCTTATTGACAGATTTCCTGTGGTGATATTTTTAAAGACGCCCCAGCTGCTCATGCCATAGTTAGTATAATCCTCTGACCTATTAGATTATCCTCACTAAGATAATAGTGATAAGATTGACATATTTATTGTCTTAATGTACTTGTATGTCTAACCAACAGCCATGCATGTAGTCAGAGGTCTGTATAGATCACCCTAGCTTGATGGAATGATCTATCATTAAAATGATAATGTCAGGACATTACCATATTCTAAAATTACTGTAAACCAACTATTATTCGCATCATCTTTTATTTGCAATTCGTCAGTTTGAAATCAATCTGCGACGATTAATTTTCATGAATAAGGAAATTAACATTTTCTACAAAAACAATTTAAGCAAACTAAATGGTTCGTGGTGATTAATATTCTCAACTTGAAGTAGGTTGCAAAACTCCCCAGTATATCTCACATGTGAATAAAAGTTGGTTCACAGTATTTTGTTTCAATCTGTTGTATCAACTTCAGGTGTCCCCTGCCAATAGTTTTGGTTTTATGGATGGAGGAATTGACATGGTGTACTCCAGGCACTTTGGGTGGCAAATGTAAGTCATTTTTCAAAAATATTTCTACATTTGATTTTTAATTGCTGTGAGAAAAGTATATACACCATTTTATGAGAAAACATTGAGACATTAGTGTTACCCTGTATCTGCCTCTGTCACTCACTATGCATTAATGACTTGATCATTTATGTTTTATCTGAGTTTTAAAGTAAAAGTTCATTTAACAAGATGTGTTTGTGAAACACTATGCACCAGGCGGCAACAAAGTTCGAAAAAGCTATTTTTAGCATACTGTAGATTCCTAAATATACGCGTGGAATTAATTATCGCGTAATTTCGCGAGAAGCACCAAACACTAAATGAAATTACTCGCCTTTATTTTTATGGTGCTGAAATCTATGAAAAATCTCTTGACCAACTGTCCATTCGCGAATTATTACTGTAGACGTACTTTTTTCCACGGGGTCATAATTCCGCGGAATCTCAATTTCAGTTTAATACGCGGGTAGAAAATTACGCGGATTTCTCAGACTGTCACTTTATGCCTTACATTTACATTAAGTACGCTTCGACAAATTTCCGCGGAAAATTTGTAACCGCGTACATAGCGTAAATTAATACCACGCGGAAAAAAGTAATTCTACAGTATTCCCGCGATTTGACGTTGAAGAGCCCATTCGCGGAAATAAGTACTCGCGAAAAATAAGGAATCTACAGTATAGGTCAGTCAAGGTCACAAGGACATTGACCTTGGTGTCATTTGAAAGAACTTAATTAGTGGAGTATGCAAACCAAACATGAAATCTCTATCTTCAATGGTATAAAGTAATGGCAAAAGTTTGAAAAAGCTATATTTAGCATATAGGTCACAATCAAGGTCACAAGGTCATTGACCTTGGTGTCATTTGAAAGAACTCAATTAGTGGAGTATGCATACCAAATATGAAGTCTCTATCTCTCATGGTTCAAAAGTTATGGCGAAGGTTAAAGTTGACAACAGACAGATAAGCAGACAAACAGATAAACAGACAAACAGACAGGACAAAAACAATATACGCCCAGGATCTATCGATCCAGGCACATAAAAATTGATTAAGTTGCTTAAAAAGTATTTTCCTTCGGGCTGAACTTTTTTAAAATAAGATTTCATTTTTTGCACTTGAGAATTTAAAGAATTCAGATTCTTTGTCAGCATCAGCTGCTGCAGTATGTCTGTATTTTATTCTCCTTTAATCCAAATCACATTCATTCAGTAATTTATGTTATCAATTATAATTTCATATTTCATAGGCAGGAACGCTTACAGAAAGTAATTCGAGAAGAACATGATGGAGAAATTTTAGTTGTAAGTTTGTTATTTTATGATGTGTCATACGTATGCAAGTCTTTTAGATAAAAAATATCTAAGTCTTGAAAAACTTAATTGTTTCACAATATCAAGGTTCCCATATTTTTACATCTCAGTTGGTGTTGTCCTGTAATAAAAAAGAGTTGTTCCTACATGTATTTTGTCTTGATTTCAGGGACATGCTGTAATTATTCCAGCATATGCTGAGCAGGTGCCCCCTAAAGAGGAGGATCTAAAGGGGTGTAATGAGGAAATCCCCATTAAATACCTGATATCAGCCCCAACTATGAGGGTACCTCAGAGTGTAGAAAACACAGTGAATGCTTATTTGGCATTTAGAGCTGTCATATTAGCTGGTAAATATATAAAAATAATCTTAATTTTACTCAACTTTGTAAACAAAAGAGTCTTTCTTTTAATAACAGCAGATTAGTTATAAAGTAGTTACAAGGACATCATTAAGTGGAGCATCCCCTCCCAAAGAGAATATCAAGGAAGCATTTGACATCAGTCACCATATAAATTATGACACTTCAGTTTCACACAAAGGACAAACTAATTTTCCCACTCACAGACACACAAGCATGTTACTATATCTCATAATCCTCCAACTCTGCTTCAAGGGAATAATGAAGAATAATATGACAGGGACATTTTTGTGTTTGTTGATCCAGATTAGGGGTCCATGTATTTTGTATTATAATAATGGGGAATACATGCATATTCAATGTATAATATCTTTTTTTTAATTATTAATTATTGTGAAAATTTAAAAACAATACAAATATAACCCTTTACCTTTTCAACAGTAATTTACCTACAGTAATTTATCCTTTGAATAAAAATGTATTTTTTCTGGTGATATTTTCACTATTGAAATGGTGAAACTATAAAAACTGCAGCAAATCTCTATTTTCTCTACTCCACAAAGAGTGTTATAAAGAATATACTCAAATGGACTACTGTCTAAAACTCAAATAATTTCTATATCCATATCTAGCTACAAAATATTGGGTAATATATCCTCTTTTTATAATTACGGACCTTATGTGTAAATTTCGGTTAACTATTTGTTATTTAATTCATGTATTTTTGCAATCAAGTTTTTCTCAACATAATGTTAACTGAATTATTTATTACTAAAATGTTAAACTTTATTTTATAAACTGTTGATTAGTACAGAGACACAACGTGAGGAACCCCGGTAATGAGATCAGGAGTGTGCTGTGTCCAGGCCTAGGCACTGCTGTAGGAATGATGGATTACAGGCAATGTGCTCAACAGGTGTGTATAAACAGGGATCGACACTAACTTTTAAACCATAGTTGTCAGCAGGGCTAGTCATTTTGAATTTCAACTAGTTCTGTTCATGTATTAGTTGTCCAGCAGTCGAAGGCTGCTGGCCTAGTCGCGAAGCGATGAGGGTGGTAGGTGCGGGAGGGGGTTTCCCCCTCCTGCTGGTGGGGGTACGGGGGGCCTCCCCCGGAAAATTTTGAAAATAGAGATGCCAAATCCTGCATTCTGGCTGTATTTTGGGTAGAAATTATATGCCACTCTATGACTGTATCTTAGACATTCTTCTATTTGAAAAAGTCCACATATATAATCATTAAGGATATTTCAAATCACCTTTAAATTTTGACATACAAAAAAAAATAATAATTAATATTATGATGATAAAACGTTTGAAAAGAGATTTAATAATTATTAGATACATTGTGTGTAATTTATAATTATTTTTGTTGCTCTGAGTGAGTATTTAGTAAAATTCTTAGTAGCCCTGCAGGGCATGTTTGGTAGCCCAACCTCAATATTCAGTTGTCCCGGGCCTGCGGGCTACCGTTAGTGTCGAACCCTGATAAAGGGGCAAAACTCTTGTCATTTTATACTTCTGCCATTCTGTTTTAATTAATATCAGATTAATACAAAAGAAGTGCAATATATGACCGAAAAAGGAGGAATTTAGGGAGAGGGTGAAGAGATTTTATTCCTAGCAGGAGCTGGTTTACAAAATTCTTAAGTTTTTATGTTGATTACAAATGTTTTTATAAAATTCATTTATTTTAAAACGAAATAGAAAGAATAGATTTTAAATAACACTTCCAGCTGTCATGATAAAAATAATAATAAAAAAAAAAAAAAGCTACATATGTGAATGTTGATATATTGCAATTTAACTGACCATGCATAGCAATATTTAGACATATACTCTGACATACATATTTTGTGAAGGTGCATTTTGAAATGACGTGTCATGGGAGATTACCTGTATCATATCTAATGTGCACTAAGTGTTTTCAACAAGAACCTGTGAATAAAAAAACAATCAAATTCTGATCATGTAAGTTTGCTTTTCCAAAAGGAAATTATAAGAGAGTGCAAAATTTTATGAATGATTAATCATGCCATTCTTTTATCTTTACATTTTTGAGAACATCTTGAGCAAATTTTTAAGAGAGATGTTTTGTTTTTGAAATTGTCATGCAGACTATCGCCTTTGAAAGTCCAAACTTTTTTGGATGTCATGATTGTTGACCATAGACTGAGAATGAATTGTTACTTTTGACAGATGCGACTGGCTTATGAGACTTATGAACTGAAGCTTCCAGAACACAGATTTAGAGTGAGTCCAAAAAATCTGTGGTCCGTGAATATCGACCACGCAAAGATGATGGAAGTAAGTCAAATTGTATCTCACCTTAGTTAACTTTTCATGTGCTATTTATACCTCTGGCCTAAACACTGGATAAGGTTACATGCTACTGACTCTGTTAGTAATATTTACTGTAATCAAACAAGAAAAATCCGATAGACCAGACCAGATTTGAACCTGGGCCCCCTGAATTACTAGACA